AACATAACAAAGAGGAGGTAAGGAGTCTTGACACTGTACACCAGTGTTCCAGTGTGCCGGGCCTACAAGTCATATACCTGGGAGAGTCGCTAATCATGCAGGTAGTGAGGTACTTGGATCCAATGGGTTAGCAAAGAAAGACCTGAAGTCCTAAGATTTACTTTGTTCTTAATTCTGTAAGACATTCCTCTCTGATAATCCCAAAATAGGCCCAATTCACTTCTTTTTAAACCTCTGTAACTGCTTCAGCAAAAGACTGATTTATCATACTATTTTGGAGTCATTATTTTTGTTTTTTAATTACAAAAGGAAAAACAAGAAACACACTTGTGAATGAAAAAAGAGTAAGATAGAATGCAAAGAACAGCATGTCTCCTCAAGCCCTTGCTTATGAACTTTAATTTCTTATACATTGGTTTTTCATCATCAGATAAGGAGCAATGCAGAGCAGGGGACTATCATCTTGACGAATCTGGATGCCTCCTAACAATAACTGACAACATGTAAAACAGAAAAGAATTCTTACACATGGATAATTTGTCTTTTTCAAGTCAGGGATATCTTTTTCTCACAATAGTACTCGTTTGCTCTATAACTGATATCTGATATTGAAGAGAGCTTTTGAACTTCAATACACTAATGCAAGAAGCACAGGGAAAGCAAAAAACAAAGGGAAAAAAACTGTTATCAGGGAAACCACCTGCAATACATGGCTGTTAAACATGAGTTGGCTGGACCTTAAGCACAAGCTTTCATGACTGGAAATATACATCCCTTTCCTTCAATACCAATTTATCTACAAGGAATCCCTTGTGCTATGCTAAGATGTTTTCAATCTCAATCCAAGCCATGGCACAGCATTTAAATGAATGCTCATTTATGTTTTGAATCTATTTATACTCTAAAGAGCATTAATAGTATGTTTTTACAGGAATGTATTACCACAAAGCTCCCTAACATCATTCCTGTACAGTCAAATCTACAACTGAGAGTATAAACCATTCAAGTGCAAAACTACAGCTTCTACAAAACAATGAAATATCAATCATGCTTACCTGATTCTCCTTTTCTGCATCACCATTGTCCAACTGTTTCCTCATGTTGTTCCCTGTGTATGCAACGCACTTCAGCTGCCACTCCCCTATGTCTTCATTCCAGTGAACATAACGCTCAACCATGTCCTGAAATTTTAGCCTTGTGATGAACTTGCATATCCATGAATATATACTTACAGGTATATGTAGCTATAAGCAAAACATTTGAAAGATATTGTTTTGGGATTCCTTGAGGTCGGGTGAAAAAAAGTTATTATGATCAGGGATAATGTCTTAATCAGATTTATCAAGTGGAATCAACTCAGTGCTACTACTGCAGTTGCATGGTTCATTCAAGAATATTATTAACAAGCAGTTCATATGTACATCTACTTTCTTTTTCATCGCATGTTTCAAGTTGTCTGCCACCTAAGGATGTTACAGGGCACACTTCCTATGTAGCTCCTCCTACATCTCCTTCCTCAATGGGGTGGATGGTCCTATAGGAGGCCCTGATGGATCCTTTCATAATATTTTTGGAATCCTGTGCTGTTAGGCAGGACAGTCAATTTTTTTTTATCCAATTGTGTCTGTTCATCTGGTGGCAATTGGCCTGCTTTCAGTCTAACTCTGTTTGAGCAGACACTAGGTATTATGCATGGCCCAGGTCTTCTCAATATAAGGAGAGGTTGCCAGGGTAGATTCTTGAATGCAAACTGCATGTACCCTGGCTGCACAAAGCCAAGGTAGTTGATATTATTGTTTAAGCTATCATACCTTATTTTTATTTTCTCTGAGCACAATGTTTGTCCTAAGGTCCTGTTAACTCTTTCAAGAGTGACTGACAGGGATATAAAGAAAAACATTTCACTCCCACAAAAATAGGAAGTAAGGAAGGAAGAAAGAAAGGAAGAAAGAAAAGAAAATAAACCCTCTCAAAAAAATTGTTACCTGATACTCCAACGGAATGAAAGAATCAATGATCAGCTGATGCAACTTGTGTTCCCGAGATAAGTGTCGCACGGACTCCAGAAGAGCCTCCATTTCCCGTTGATGTTCCGCCTGCATATCTCCCAGCTCTGACTTGGCGGCCATCAGGAGAGTCCACACCTTTTTAAGCTTTCTGGTCTTGCCGGCATTCTCTTCTTGTAAGGTGGTATACCTTTCTTCAAGGTCAATTCTCTCTGCCTGTAATGGTTAAGAAAAATAGCATGTGTAACTTATTATTTAGAAACCTACAAGTAATACTCAAATAGACCTTCATTGCAACATGTTAGTCCCTCCATTTAAATACCATGTGAAAAATATTGCATTAAGACCTCCTTATCATATTCTGTTGTTTCCCAGTTTATAAAATGCTACATAATATTTTAAATTTATCTCTCGCACTTTACTCATCCTCACCCACACCTGCATGGGCACACACGATCCCCTACCTCCTTCTGCGTGATGGCATGTCGGAGCTGTTCTTCGTGCCGCCTCCTCTCCTCAAGCTCCTTGGCCGATTCTTCTAAGAGTCTCTCCTGCTCCTCTGCTTTCTCCAATAAATTTTCACCGCCGACGAGAATTTTGCGTTCTAGTCCTTGTAACCGCTGTTTCAAGGCTTCCTGTTCTTTCCTAAAAAGAAACAAAAAAAAAAACGTTGGTTTTAATTTTATTTTCTTAAAATAAATTGGTCTAACTATAAATAAATAACTAACATTTATATTCTCTTAGGGAAAGTGAGCTACATATATAGTATAAAATCAATGCTGAGTGATAAAGTACTCTTCATGAAACTAATATTGGGGTAAGCCATTGCCAACTGCATATTACAGAATAAGGAAATGACTGATGCAAGATGTATGCAATATTTTTGCTTTAAAATTAACCAACTGGTCTTGCAAGACTTGACATACCTATGTCAACTGTAGTTTTGTTCATTAATTGTGTTTATACACAGATGCTCCAAAATGCTTAGTTACAAAGACCTTCCTCTTTTTTATACAGAATTATGATAACAAATAAATATTACCCTACTCTTTTCCTCAAATTGTATAAGAGGGATTAGAGTTATGCATGATGCCATATAATTTAATTTAACAAAACTTTCATTTCTAAGGAATAATATCTGTTATTTTAGAAGGTTTCACTGGCATCTCAAGAAAAGAAAAGAAAAGAAAAGAAAAGAAAAGAAAAGAAAAGAAAAGAAAGAGAAAAAACAGAAAAAGAAAGAAAAGGAAAGAAGACAAAAGAAAATCAAAGAAAAAAGAGAAAAGGAAAAACATACACATACAAGCATGCATGTACACATGGACACGCACACACTTGGACACACATGGACGCACACATGCACGTACACGTACACGTACACGCACGCACACACACAAAGAAAGAAAAAAATCTGTCATTCCTCCTTGGAAACAACCAGCACCCTTCCCATTCCCAAATCCAAAGCGACTTACTGGGCCTTCTTCAGCTCCTTTTCATGTCTATCCAAGTCGCTCTTCACCTTGTTCCTCTCCTCCTCCTCCAGGTCCTTCCTTTCCGATAACATCTTCCGCTCCTCCTCGATCTTCTTGCGGATGGCAGCCACCTGAGGGAAAAAGGACGATAGGACGTGCATGGATCTGGACTTCTCTCTATCTATATATTTCCTTCAGTGGCTGTACAAAATACTCTCCTTTCAATTAAACAGCTTTTTACTCTCTTACTTTACTCCCTTTTTACACTCTTTGTACATAAATCGGTAATTAAGTCTGATTCAATGTTCCTTTGATTGACAATCACATCACTGAATTAATTATCCTAAAAGAAATAGACTAATTAATAAAAAAAGGTTGAAAACAGAGTAATACTTCTCTTCATCTGTACATATACCACATAAGCAATATGTATATCAAGCATAAAACAAAAAATAACATTTTTTAGCTAAGAAAAAAGAAAGAAAGAAGAGAGAGAGAGAGAGAGAGAGAGAGAGAGAGAGAGAGAGAGAGAGAGAGAGAGAGAGAGAGAGAGAGAGAGAGAGAGAGAGAGAGAAAAACTATCACTTCCAAATCCAAATCTTTTAACAAATCTGAAGCAACTTACCTCCTCTTCCTTCAATTTCTTCTTCTTTTTCTTTGGCTTTTCCTCCCCTTCCAATTCCTCTTCATCTGAATCTTCCTCCTCAGATTCATCTAAAAGTAATGGAACGTGTATTTTTCCAAGTTCTCTGATGACCAATAATGTTCTAAATGCCCATTAAATCACATAACAAATGCACATACTTCAAAAGCACAATGAAATAAAAACAACCAAATTACTACAACAAAATTCTATGAATGTCTACTAACCTTTTTCTCTAACTTTTTCGCTGACTAGAACAGGGATAGTAAGTTAAGTTGGATAATATCTAAATCAAGCTAGACCACTTAAAGTTACAGTGTGATATAGGCAATACGCAATGTAACTAATTGGCATTCAAGTGCATCTTATACTCCGATCTTTTACTGTATTACTGATATGATTATAAGCCACCATATTAATAACAGCTATTAAAAAAGGAACCAATGTTAACATCATAAAGTAATAACAATAAATGAGATTAAAAACAAATAAAATACAGTAAAAGATGGACCAGAAGTTCATAATTCAGCATTCTAGATTTCTCAATTAGCCTTATTGCAACTTCTGAAACATTTGCATCAGCACCAACTGATAATATTTAATACTGAGTGTGACAGTGCAGCTGTGTTCATACAAGCACTGTGAGTAAATATCGGCCAGTTACAAGTAACATACGTGGAAAGGTGTCCAGTGGTCCTCTGTACCCTACATGCATCTACTGATGGTTTAATGATTGTGGCAAATACCCTATATATAATTTGAATTAATATGTGTGTTTCTGCTTATATATGCATATGTTTTTCCTCTTCTTACAAGTGCTAATAATCAATTCTGTTTAATATTATGTTTGTGGAACTTGAGGAATTAATGAACCAGTGGTGATCCTCATGTCTAATACATTGCAAGTATTTTTTATGTATTTCAGGTATTGGAATGTTTGCATATTGCTTAGAAAGAAATGTACTGATGAATGTGAAAATATCTTAATATCCACTTCTTTAAACAATAGAAATTCTCTTATGAATATTTTTAGAGAATTTATAAACTGTGTAGTATGAGAAATTAATAAACCTGTGGTGATCCTTATATCTAATACACAGTGCATGTATTTCTAATATAATTCTTTAACTGTCACCCAGTCCTTAGAAAGACTATGAACTGTAATGATGAATGTAAACTTAACATATCATCAATTCTTTTTAGACAACAAAATTTTACCAATAAACATTTCTGGAATATTCAACACTAAAAATACTGACTTATTCTAAAAGTTGTGTGCTACCGTCTCGGCACTACATTATACTTAATCTCAAAATCTCTCATAATGGTAAAAGCTTAGGCACATTATGGTAAATTGCACTCATCAGAAATTTAAGAATACTATACCAAGATCAAAAACTACACTTGTTTCCATCACAATAATGCTTGAAACTTTTCAACGGTCAGAAGGGCCAGATCAGAAAACACAAGAAGGTACTGTTGAATGCCAAAAGGAGTAACCTGGCACTATCAAAATACAAGAGAAAAAGGTAAGTCTCAAGAAATATGGCAAATGAGCTGGAATGAGACAGAAACCGCAAAGAAAACTTGGGAGTTTCGCAAAGGACTGCTGGGGGAGGGGAGAAAAGTGCAAACATGGACATCCTTTGACCCCGTGTGAGACTGTGTGAAGCAAGAACCTTGGATGTTAAAGAGAAAGGAGGGATATAAGTGGGTTGTGGAAGTAGAAGAGTTCATTACTTTCCTTTTATGAGATCTATGTTTTAATTTGGCGTATTCATTACAGTTTGATTATATGAATACGTCAGGGTTTTTTCTGCTTAAATGATCAAATTTGAACCAAAAATGGCCCATTGTCTAAAGGAAAATACAAAATACTGATATTGAATCTCGGAAAATTTTGTCTGAAAGCTAACAATACAGGTGATAACTCTTAAGGTAAAAGTTTCCTGAGATAGAGAGAAAAAAACTTGTATCAATTAATTAGCAGCATTCTAAAACTATTCTTTCCAATCTATCATCTTCAAGTTCAAGATTTATATACCCCAAATCATTCAAAACTAGCCTATAATTATTTTACATAAAGTATATAGAATATCTTGCTTCTCACTCACAAAGGCAAGAAAACAACGATCATAAGAGTAAGACATAAAATGCAACGAGAATCCGAATGAATATCTTACTCAGTGAAATATCCCCCAGAAGGTAAAGACGTGCCAAAAAATAGAAAAAGGGTGCTTCTGTGTTGTTTACATACTACACTAAAAGGTTCCTTTACACATCCTCAACACCTTAACAGTAACGCTACAGTACCTTCAAGTTGACCTCTCAGCGTCTTTATCTCGTCCTGGAGTCGCCGCAGAAGAGCATCCTTCGGGTCCTCATTAATCTTGGCTTTGTTGCAGATGTTCTTTGCTCGATTGGCGTAGCGCAATGTGCTGATTGTCTCGTCATAGTTGTAACTGGCTGGTCCTATATTTGCACACTATGCACACAGAAAATATCACATAATTTAACTTTTATTTAATCACCTTATAACTAGGTTCTACTCTAGATTTATAACTAAAAGAAAAGAAAAGAAAAATAAAGAAAAGAATATGAATTCTAATATATATATATATATATATATATATATATATATATATATATATATATATATATATATATATATATATATATATTATTTATATATAAAAAAATATTTAGAAACACACATGCATGCAAGAATGGAAACAGAAAGAGAAAAAGAAAGAGAAAGAGAAAGAGAGAGAGAGAAATATATGTATATATGTATTATTCAAATAAGTAAACCATGTAATAATACATGATAACAAATGCATATTGGAAAAGTGATTTTGGAAACTTCATTTTAAAAATCCAGTCTCTAAAGAGAAAGAAATTTGTTTCTGTATAGGCTGTAGCATATGTAACTTTAGTAGTCTAGTTTCATTTAGATAATATATGTGTGTGTGTGTGTCTGTGTGTGTGTGTGTGCAAGATAATAGTCAGATATCTCACCATCAATGTTTTTGAGTTGCCTCCCAAAGAATCTTGTAGAAGTCTTGTCAACTTAGAATTTCGGTAAGGTATATGTGTCGACCTTCCATCCACCAGAGCCGATATTACGTTTCCCAGCGTTGAAAGGGACAGATTAATTTTACTAGCTTCTTTCAGTCTCTGACCTGTTGCTCCTGTTTTGCTCTGTCGCTCTGAACCCTGAAAAAATGTATACAGGATAAGCCAAATAATTTTTTTTTTAACAAAGAATTATATTATATAAAGAAATATTCCTATATGATTTAAGAACGTCAACTAAAATCAGTTCCTAATCAAGTCTATTCATCAAGCCTCAAGCACATTAACAGGCATCAGAAGACTAGATTATATAACTGTATAGTACTGAACAAAATCCACTTACAGCAAGATCTACAAGATGAAGCTTCCCAACTCTCCAATGCTGTTGTCCATCCATACCTCTCTCAGCACACTCTATGGTAATTGTGAAGATTGCGTGTGATCGTGAACTGTGTGCGTTCATGTTGGTTGCTCCGACAGCCCCTGTTAAAATATGATTAAAGAAATGTATAAGTTTCCATTCAGCATGTGTTATATAATAAAAAATGATCACAAGAAAAAATAATTTTGTACTGTGGAAATATAAATAAAGAATTATGTACTTCACTGATAATCACTTTTACTTTAAGTCATTTGACATAAACTAATAAGAGCAACAGAACCAAGGGAGAATAGTATTACCAACAATTTTACAAAGAAACCTAAACCTAAAGTCTCCAACAGATATGCAGTATTGATAAAAATGATGCTTGTAGCAATCAAAAAACAATACAGTCTGCAAACACCTGAATCAAACTGGAAAACATACATATACATATTACATTGAGGACCTTTCATGAGAACACATAATGTTGCTAAGTTACAGAAGCATACTTTAATTGAGCTTACAATATGGAAACATTTGATTCTAAACATCTTGTGGCTGGAGTAAAATAATCTATACCAATGTCTGGTGCAAATTTTATGTAAGCACAGAACTTCAGTGTGAAAAATCAATTTTACTGTGTGGCACTTGATCCCTGAACCACACACTAGACCATAATAATTGCCATTATATTATATGACCATTTTCATATCACATAATCCCTAATAGACAAAGGTTAGGATAGTGCCACCTATCAAAAAATAATTGCTATACATTTTAATAAGAAAAAAGAGCCAATAAAGCTCCTACTGACACAATAAAAAATATACATATACCAATACAGGAAATGACAGACGGTAGCCACTCACTATTTTTGTTTCCGAGCGTCATGATTTTGTCCATTTCATCTGCATTATGTACAACATGTGTTAACAAGTCCTTAACATAGACACCCACATCTGGGCGCTCCTTCACCTCCAGGCGCATGGACTGGTCCTGGCGCAGCAGGTCCCGTACTTCTTCGTTGTAAATCTCTAAGTATGAAACTCGTACCAAGAACCTGAAATGGGTATTTATGATTTTAGAGAAGATGCCACTATTTATGTTGCATTCAGGAGCTTCAACTTTTAAAAAATTCTATGTAAATTAGTAGTTGATGAGGATTTATTTGTTTTATTTCTTTTATAGTAGACTAAGCTAATTAAAGTATATATTCTGTTTATATATAAATTCTGCAAATATGAACATTATAATTAACATGAATCTCAAACATTTTATTCCAACCTTCTCAGCAAAAAACTATATATATAAACATCCTAATTCTACCTAAATCAACTAATATCTGTTGTTTACACCTGTGGTGACCTCAAACTACAATTCTTGACAATAGGAAATTTGTTTACATGGATATATCCTATGATAACAGCTTTTACCTGCTCCATAGTTAACCCAATACTATGGCACCACATGCAGTCAGCCACTGGAGCAAAAAGTCAGAGGCATAAGAAACATGTTTTCCTGTTGCTATACATTTTGACTGCAACTTATAAGGATCATTCCATAAAAGATACTAAAACCTGACTTTAAGGCAGCTTTGGGTGCACTTCCTTCAAGATTGGAATCATTTTGGAATTACAAATGAACAATTTTTTGGCAAGCACCACATATAGCAGATGTGGTACAGGTAGTTGCTACCTGGCTTATAGGTTCAGTGCTTCACGTCACCCAGTGTGATTGGGTTAAAATCAATATAGTAGTATATTATGCAAATACAGCATCAGTATTGGAACTAAATGCCTGCATCAAGGTCACACACACACACACACACACACACACACACACACACACACACACACACACACACACACACACACACATACATACATACATACATACATACATACATACATACATACACATACACATACACATACACACACACACATATATAACTAATCATTTATTTTCCCAAAACGTACATGCATTATAAGATCATTTCTCCTCAAAACTGAAGCCAACCTAAGGCAAAAAATCTCACTTTTTGTCCTCCTCTGCTTTGGCAATGTGTCCGAAAATGTGAGCGAAGGAGTTGGGGATGATACCCTTCAGCTCCGGCACCGATCTCACGCCTTCCATGGTGAAAGTCTTCCCCGTCCCCGTCTGCCCGTAGGCGAAGATTGTGCCGTTGTATCCTTCCAGTACGTTCTCTACAATTGGGCGTGCAGCCAGGTTGTACACATCCACCTGCAAGAAAAGGAGGTGATAAAATGGAAGAGGGGTAGGAGGGAGAGAGGATTAGAGAGAAGGGGAGAAGGGGTGGGGGGGAGGGAGAGAGGGACAGAGGGAGAGAGAGGGAGAGAGAGGGAGAGAGAGGGAGAGGGGGAGAAGGGGAGGGGGAAAGAGGGACAGAGGCAGAGAGAGAAGGAGAGAGGAAGTGAGA